TAATATGTTATTTTATAATTATTTCTTCCCACATAATATTTTATTAATTTTTCCTTAATAAATTGTTACTCTAAGCGAGAGTTTAATTTGTTTATAGTCCGACGATACAAATGGAATCGTCTCATCTAAACCTCGAAGAGTTTCAAAGGGAACTTATATCGATGGAAACTGTCGATAGGTAAGATTCTAATTTTGATAACCAATGAGTATTAAGGTATTGATATAATTTCTTCRTAGAYATATATCGCACTGGTAAATTTATTATTCTTTTATAATTATTCTAATTATGATAATGAATTGGTATTAAGGTATCACTTTTAATATTTTATTTTTGTTCATAGGCCAACAACACAAATGGGATCTTTTATTCCAGACTTTGAAAACATACAATTTCCGAGAGAAGGTGAATTGTACAAGAATGTGGACAACCTTAATACTTAGTAAGTTCTAATTTTGATAATATCAACAATATCGAAACGTCTAATTATATTTTTTAATACAATACTATAGATTTGAATTTTTTTATTTTAATATTAAATAGTTTAAAAGTTCAATATTCATTTAATTGTGGATAATATTTGATTAATTTTTCTTTAATAGTGACTATATAAACAAGACTATTAACAGTATTTTAACTCTACAGTCCAACTGCACAAATGCAATTTTGTGATCCAAATTCCAACGATATGCTATCTACTCATTCATGGTAGGAGTTTAATTTTAAATGATAATGCATGTTTCTTTATGTATGCTTTTTAAAAATAATTCTATAAACAATATTTTAATTTTGTAGCCCAACGCAAGTGGAGTTATGTCATAAAAAATTGGACAATATGGAAGGTTGGTCTGATGCATGGTAAGATTTTATTAGATAATGAATTGTTTACGTTAGTTCATTCATCTGAATTGTAGGTATTGATTTATTTTTCTTTAATAATAATCATAAACGAGATTTAAATTTTTGTTAAAGTACAAAAACACAATACATGATCAAGATCCTTATGACAAGATTATGAGGCAACTCAAAGAATGCCACAATAATATGGATCCTACCAATATCTAAAAACATTATAGTACTTTTTTTAAGCCGTCAATTTTTTTTTTTTAACTTTTATCGTTAATAATTGAAATATGTGAATTTATTTTTATCAATAATGATCATAAATAAGGGTTTCACTTTTTTTCCTTATAGTACAAAAATACAAATGAAGTCACGGGATGAAGATGAGTATGAAGAGCTCATTAGGATACTTGATGCAAGCAATAACGTGGAACCTACCAATATTGAGAAAGATAATGATTTTGATAAAGAATGGTATAGAAATAGTCCTCTTAACTTTCTTATAAATGATATTCCAATTTTATAATTTTTTTTAACCTTTTATGGTTAATATCGAATATGTTGATTTATTTATTCTTAATAAGGACCATAAAAAAAATTTTAATTTTACGTACAGCATAATAACGAGATCACATGATCAAGATGAGGATGAARATGCAGAATTTGCTGAAGAGATACGGAGAGAACTCGATCAATGCAATGATGTGGAACATGCCAATATAGGAGAAGATTATAGTTTTCAAAATGAATGGTGGGGAAAATCCGTTCATAGATGATATTCTACTGTGCTTTTACTTGTTAATAACATTCTTGTTCACAATTTTTGTAGTTTTCCATATGATATATTCATAATTTTTTATGTTGATATACTTTCTTCCCCCATAATTTTGCAGTTAGATTTAAAGACTTTGGCATCGCGCATTCAACTTGGAGTAGATAGGAATTTTTAATTTTTTTTAGTTTAGACAACGAGTGTAGATGACTTATATGCATTGAAGATAACTTACCTACATTGAACTTTATCTTATTTAATGAATATTATTGAGATGAGGTAGATGATGAGGGTGCTAAAGCTATGCTAACTTTGTTGGGATATCTGGGTGCATCTCCTGATTCCTTATCACCAATAATTTATTTTTGTGAAAAATAAAGAGCATTTGATATATTCTCATTTCGATTTTATCTGGGTGCTTTCATGACACTTCTAAAACATTCCATTGTTAGCCTAATTGAAATAATGTAATAACAAAATTTTACAAACCAATTCTTTTAGGCCATTTGACACCCATTTCTTTTTTCTTTTTTTTCCTATTTTTAAAAATTACTCTTATTTGCTCGTCATTTCTTCAATATGTAATTTTCACATTCTAGAAAACAAATTTGAACTCTTAGTCAAATTTAAAAAACAAAAAACAAAAACGAGTATTTGAAAACTAGTTTTTTTTTAAGACTTAGATTTTGAAAATATTTAAAATATATATATATATAT